AGCCATAAGAAATGGGCGACTGACAGTCGCTTATTCTTCTCGGATTCGACTGTAATTGGTCAATTTCTTACAACTTACGGCTTAAAACATTTATTGTAGATCCGGGGTAAGGGCTGCTGTAAGCGCGCCAAAATAAAGCGTCGGTTGCTCTGTCGCAGTATTAATGTTGCCATTAGGGGCCATTTCACATAAACTTGCAAAGCCGCATAGCCATATGCATAAGGAAAATTATTCAATCACATTTCTGTCATACAGACAAATGTAAACTACGATTGGATGATTTTCTTTATGCATATATGTTTATATGAGTATGCAAATTTGTGTGGAATGCCTATGACGCTGCATTACTATATCGACTGTTGTATCACAAGGGCTGCCGGAAGCGCCGAAATAAAACATCGGCTGCTCTGGCGCTGTATGAAGGCTGTCTGCCTTGTCTACAATACACGGTGTAAGAAGTAAGAGTACTTTTTACTCCGTGTATTGTAGACGGCCCTTAGTGGAATAGGCCTATTGGGGAAACCACTTAAAAAAAACGCATCTATGGTATATTAGTACTTCTAGGGTGATGTGGAAAACTAGTATAATTAAAAATTTCAATATAATTTTATGAGGGTCTACGTGAAGATTTTTCTCCTCCTCGCGAACAACAAAAAAGTCTATTTATACATCGAAATAAATATTGAAGTTCGTGTTAAAATCGGAGAGACGAAGAAAATATGGGTTGCATTCTCACGAGAATAGGCGATGGAGGAGCCTATTCTTTATTTTAATTATATTCTATTAAGAATCCATTCCGTTGCAATTGAAATAAATAAGTAAAATATATGGTCCATATTTATCATAATTATAACAGTTACATATATACTATTCATTCTTCAGTATATATATGTACCATTTGCTTCATTGTAACTTATACAAAGTTAAGTTACAGGAATCGAAAACATATCCATTTGTGATATTTGTGTATTTGTACTCTGAAAAGTATGTGATATAGCCTAAAGCTATCATTAAAATGAAAAGTCCAGCCATGTTCAAAAATGTAAGCAGATCTTCAAAAATTTAAACCTTTAACAATTGAAATAATTATGTAACAATATATATTATTATGAAAAGTAACTGATATATTATTCAAAGTCTCAGTTCAAAGTGAACATACATAAAGCGTATTCTCAAAAATGTAAACCTTTAAAAATTAAACTTTTATCTGATAATATATTGTTTCACA